GTAGTTTGGTGCAACAATTCGTACGGACTGCACTAATCCTAACTTCACGCAAAGGGTCATTTGAAGCTGAGAAATACTATGGACTCTGTTTTACGCGTCTTACGTTTTTTTTTTGTTTCATTTTCTTGCAGGCTTTAGGGGTCTTGGTGCTGGATGTTGCGATGAAGCACCTGTGAGCCAGGAGTGAGGATTTATGGAGGAGGAGGTGGTCTAAGAAATCCTTATCCCTTGATTCGATAAGGAATTCCTAATTACAGCGTTACTTTTCCAAATGTTCATGATGATGGACGCTCATGGTCGGGGGATCCAAAACAGGGCATTTGAAAACCGCTATGGTATGCGACTGAGACTGAACCCAGGAGAGGGGAGAAAAGCCAGTGTGAACAAAAAATGCTCATATTCTCACGCAGAATTCCTTTCCTCCCTACAGCTCGGATCCAAGTATTGCATTATAAGTGGCTCACTACTTGAACGTCCTTCCTCTCCCCCCCCCCCCAATGACATGCGCGCCGAAGTGTTTGGTGTAGTTGACGCCAAAAACCCGTCCCTCCCCGCCTTCCCACTGAGCATCCACTTCACATACTCTCCACTACAACTCGAAAATATGTGAATTTTAAGGGTAAAATCGAATTCCAAGGCTTAAAAAATGCTTTAATGCACAAAGGCTCTAGCACTACTTTAATCTTTTCATGACTCAAAAATAAAACAGTCGAAAAAATTAGGCAACCAAATTGTAGCCGTCACTCCATCCACTCACTCTTCGACAATTGCGAAAGCGACACAAAAAAAGTTCGAAAATCAAACCAAGGGCAAGTTGCCAACGAGACTGCAATTTCTAGGTGGGACCGACATGCTCGTTGACTGAGTATCGCGCAGTGGGTGTGTTTTGAAGAGGCGTGGCCGTGATTTCGCTGCTCGCGGGTGGCATGTGCGAGTGACGTCACGGGTCCTTTTGTCGTTCGCGTTAACTTCACGGTTGCACCGTAGCTTTTTATCAGGTTTTGTTCGTTATTTATGTGGTTGTCGCGAGAAAGCGCGTGACCATGGAAGCATTTTCTTCTGCCAGGTCCCATTCATCAGTATGTCACTCGTTGTAATAAATCCTATCCTCGAAAAGAAGGCGGCTCGTTACCAGCTGGTGACAAGGTCACTGTATCCCGCGTTGATGAAGTGCAAGCATATGCGAATGATTTCTTCAGTATGACATGCATCCTCTCACAATGCTCTTACCTCTCCTGTATTTCTGAGAGCTGACTCATTTATTGTGAAGCACTTCCATCAGTGATTAATGGAACATGAAATTGCAAGTAACGTACTGTTTTTATTGGTTTCGGAGAATCTCAGAATTACTTCTTCTTCTTGTTGGAGTTTCATCCTAAAGTTATTTCTGGTTTGTTCAGACTCATATGCTTCTCACATATTAGAGCCAGCTTGAAAGTGCACTCCCAACGCATGGTTTTGCTGGGGTATAGCAGTTGTTCAACATCCGCCAGGAAAGATTCATTGGTTACAATCACATAAATCGAACGAAAAGGTCATGATTCAATAGGCAGAGCGGAGCGGCGAAGTTGGCAAATTTGTGTTGGTCAGAATAGTTTGATTCAGTTTTCGCTTTGTGCACTAGTTAGGATCCCCTCATTGATTGGTTTTGCTATCCATTTTGATTTCATTTGAGCCTTCCAAACGTCCTATGCTAAATAAAAAGTAAAGCCAATGTTTAGTCAAGAACTAGTTTGTTTAGCTTCTTTCTAATGGTCAGATGAATCACATTTTTTCCAACCACCATTCCTCAAAGGCTCATCCTCGCTGATATTGCCGAATTAACCCTTTGACGACCGCCGTTGTGAGTGCGTAACTTCATTTCTTTTTGAATTTTTTCTTCAGTAGTCATAAGCTCCACATTTTCATATTAGTAATGAGCACAGTTAGTTTCGCGGATCATTGGTATAGGGCAGCTGGGAGCTTGAAAGAATGCAACATAAACACGGAAAACGAGTCGCCTCCGAGTGAAGTGTGGCCCACCGGCGGGCCACACGGTCGTCAAAGGGTTAAAGATGGAGGTAATGAGAAAATAACTGTGGGATTAGCACATTATGTTTCGTGCAAAGAGGACCAAATTACATAATAATTAAATGGATTTATCAAATTGAATACGCGAAATTAGTGGTGGAGCTTGGAAACTTTATGTAAGCGGATAATGTTCATATCCCGTGATGACATGCGGCCATAATATTGCACTGCTAACCGCATTAATGGCCGCGTTTTTTATCTAGGTGTAATCTTCATGAAGCTACTGCCATTTCGTTGCACTATGGTGAACTCAGATTTCCATAGCGTTTATCATCAAGTTGTGTTAAGCACAGAAAACTTTTCATAAGCCAGTTCATTAACTCGATGGTTCGACGTGTAATTTATAACATATCGCGGCGCATAGCTTGCTCCAGCGATAGTGATCTAATTTTTCACGAGGAAAATCCGAATCCACACGGGTAGGTGAACATATACTGTCTGAGTTAGAAAGGGATGAATGGGGCATGGAATGGAAAATGTATGTCGATTGAGGGGATTTGATGCTTTTTTGAGCGACTAAACACTCAATTCCTCTTTTCTTTCCTCTTCATCTATAAGATCCCTGCTCTCTAGGGCTTCCACGGGCAATTCCATATAGTTTGAGTGTACGTAGCATGTCTTCCTCTTCTCTCATAACTTTTCTGAGTTGTATTAATCTCCTTATCTTGTAGGCTGTTGTTTTGTTCTCTGATTGCTTTTGGAATCATAATAATTCATTTCTCTATTTATTATTGAGAAAATCTACGGTTTACATAGACACTTCTCAATTTGTATCTAGGATTTCACTTCTCACCGCCCTCTGATAAAGTTTCCATTTTGCGCATAGTGTACTGTCACTATTCGATCGGCAAATTATTTGCAGTCGAACCAGAGTTCACCATGGGTGACCAAAATGGTCGTCTTGACTCACCCCTGAGCAGCCATGAGTTCGACAAATCTGTAAGTCCACCAAGTCTTGATCGAAGCCGTGAGAGCGATGCGTTCAGGTTTGATAATCAACTTCCTCATTTGAAAAGGTCTACGAAAGTAGTTTTGAAACCGATTTTTTCTTACATTTCAGGTCAAACACCTCCAGTCCGTTGCTGAATACGGAACCACTACCACTTGATGACCAGTCACATTGCCCGTATTGTCATAAAGATTTCAGAAAGGTGCGCTACTTTACAAATCTTGGATAATCTTCCCCTCATCTGTACTCGCTTTCAGCCACGTGTTCTTGATTGTCTGCACTCAATGTGCGAAGACTGCATAATTGCGCAGTTGGATGGTCGGCGAGATGCACAAAAAGCAAGTGAGCAATCCAGTCGCAATCCTACGGATTGTGAGCTAGAAACACCAAAGTGTGAGTGTTGCTGTTTCCTTTTTTTGCTTCTGTATATTCAATAGGTTTGATCGTGAATAAGATCGAGGTAGTAACAGGCGTAGTTACCTATATAAGCTCTGTTTCAGTGAAAGAACGTCCCACTCCTCCCGGTGTGATTCGGTGTCCGATATGTGCTCAAGAATCTCACGTTGGAAACGATGTACGCTACGTACACACAATGCTTCTTGATTATGTGAGTGACACGCTATCCATTCTTTTCCAATAAAATAATCGTGGGTGAGTAAAGCAAAGCAAATTGGGGGGTTTCTTTCAGAAAAAAATCGCTTTTGCCCCAAGACCCATTTTGGGTGTGCCCTTATCTAGGTCTGAATAACTACACTTTACTCTTTTTTTGATGTTTTTCTTGAAATGGTTCTGTTCAGGTCCGGCTTGCAGAGAATGAGGAGGCCGTTGGAGAAAGACGCTGTCGCGCTTGTAAGTCAGAACAACCAGCAATTGCTGTCTGTAAACAGTGCCAATCAGATCTTTGTTCAAACTGTCTGTCTGCTCACAGTGTTATGCGGATGTTTGAAGGACATGAGGTCTGTTTTCTTGCGGGCGTAAACTACTGATGCATATCTTGGGTTTGAATGCTCCTTGTTCTGGATTTACAGGGAATATCCTTTGGTGTCTCTTCAGGTCATGACATATGCCGAAATGGAACAACGTGGTCAACGTGGAGATGTTCGTCCAGTGCAGTGCCCAACGCACTCACTTCCTTATAAAATGCTTTGCGCAACTTGCGAGACGCTATGCTGCAAAGTTTGTCTCGAAATGGAACATCTCAACCATAAGGTGTGCCTTAACTCACTGGTTTTCAAATCAGTTTCCTAGCCATACAATGAAGAAAGCTGTCAATGTATCTTATTACGTGCGCTGTTCAGGTTGTCGAAGTGAATGCAAGAGTGGTGTTCACAATACAGTCAGAAATCGAAAAGCTGGCTGACAAAGTCGAGAAGAAGGTTTGCTGCGTTTCCATCAGCTACGATGGGATTGTCTAAGAATGTACTTTCAGTGGCGCGATTCGATGTCTGAATGGAGCGCTATCCCGGATCGGTCAGCAAGCCTTCACGAACAGTATGAAGCAGCTAAGGTTCATGTGGAAATGGCCTTTGACGATCTTTTGAAAGCTCTTGAAGAAGCTAAAACCAACAAGGTTCATTTTTGGTGGCGTTTCGAGCATTTAAACACAGCCTTCTCGAAGTTATGTGCGAATTCTCGTCACCCGACTTCTTCTCCATCGTCTTTATCTTTGGAAAACAACAAAGTTATTGTTTTAGCTTGCCCAGTTGGAGGAAACTCGTCAGAAACAAGAAGTGGCGATTGAAGATCTTTACAGAAAGATGAATTTGAATGAAGCAAGAGTGAGCGATGCACTGAGGTTTGACTCACTCGTTTTGTTGTTGGAATTAAGATTGATATTGAATTATTCATGTTTTTTTTCCTTCAATATGATGAATATGTTTGGCTTAGGGTATCTGTAATAGGAAAAATTCAAAGTTCAATCGCTCTCGTGTGACGGGATTTCGTTTGGGCTCTAACTTGTTAACGTAGCGAACCTTTTTCAGTTCTCTTTATTCACATGGCTTCCCACACGCTCAGCGTGCTGTTTTAGCTTAGAAAGTGGTGTTACGCTATTAAAGCACACTCATACCGCTTGTTCAGGTTCGCGCGTAATTTACTTTCAAAATCGAATGGAATGGAATTACTGGCTAGTCGTCGCAAAGTTGTGCAGCAACTCAATAATCTTGCCCACACCATGCCAGCCTTAGGTATTCAGGTAAGGAGGAAGTCACTCTCTTACTATCGCTTTCTATAATAACTTTTTTTCAGGTGGAGTTAGAATATCAGCCGTTATCCAAAAAGCAGTTAGACACACATATGAATGCCATTTGCGGAAATGTCATTGGTGAGTATCTGGAAATCATATATAGTAGTTATTGGTTGGACGGTGTTGGCAGCTCCAAATTCCTTTCTTGGACCCTTGTCAAATTTTTTGTAATGCTATTTTCTTTATGATGACAATCAGAATGGCAGTATGATAGTTTCCTTTGTAGGTCGAATGGTATCGGCCAACGTCAAGGAGACAATAACAGTGCAACAACCGCCTACGCAACAAATACAACAAACACAACCAGACTACATCGACCAGAGTTGGCGCTACGGCGTTGCCTGGTGCAGCAGATTGGAATCGTTCATTGAGCAATGGTCATGGATCTACTGGTGACTTGGGAGCAATTGGCATTGAAAGAAAGAAATCAAGGTATGTTATTTGTTGTAAATTTCCCAGAAATATTACAAAGTTGTAAAGTTTAGTATCTCGTCTGCGTGGAACAACAATATTGGACCGTCTCGAGTCAGTGGGCCGGGTGGCGATGCCTTTGGGTGGCCGCCCAGTAGTCATCCACCAGATTTACCATCGCCTTCACCTCCGATACCATTGAAGGATGTTGCTCCACCAAGTTTCACTGTTGGTGGGCCTGGAGTCATTGGTCAGCCTTCCAACACAAATCCTTCAGTTACAGCATCAGGAGGAAATGTGAGTTAACGTTCACATCCCTTAAGCCCCGTTCATACACCGCGGTATTGACGAAAAAACGATATAGCGCTGAAGGCAAATTAGCGATAATGCGACCGAAAGTGCGTACGCGCCGCAACGCATGAGAAGGCGACCAATTATGGCGGGTTTATTTTGTCAATCATTCAATAAAAATCATTCAATATGTATCCAATCTTCACTGGAAAATCGCCAAACGATGTACTCGCCAAATCGTCAATCGCATAATCGCAATCGCATCTGCGCTCGTTGAACGGAGCCACCTCAATCGATTCGCATCTGTCCCTTCAGCATTATAGCTAAATCGCTATATCGTTTTGTCGTCTACTCGTGGCATCGATGAACGCTTATTGGGCGGAGCCTTTTTAGTCGATACGCACCCACAACGTTCAGCATTATCGCGAAATCGTCCAAACCGCATAATCGCATTGCCGCTTTTTTTCCAGATCGATACCTATGCTTTACTTTCAGCATTAGAGCCAAATCGCATTAACCGCGGTGTATGAACGGGGCCTTACCATTAGAGTTTTCTACTACACTCATAATGTTTCTCCAGCATATGCTATGTTTTCCGAGGGAAGCCTCCCTTCCGTCTGTGCCATGCCAGGCACGCTGGTTATCGGCTAATGAGAGGCAGGGTTTTATACTAATGTATTTTTCCCTATCACCTTTCTGCATTGTTTTTTCTATGCCTCTTATCCGACTTCATTATTAGTTGTTCGCATTCGTGGTTTCCGTCTAGACTATTTTTTTTTTCCTTATTTCCTGATAGTATTTACGAGTGTTCCTGTTCATCCAACTTTTTGTTTTAGTTCAAGTAACGTGTGTTATCCTTCTATTGGTTCGGTTTATAGTTCGAGTTTTATGAAGATTCTCGTTTCCACATCCTTTCGTTTATATTTGACTTCTTACTATTCTTTGTTAATGTTCAGATGGTGTTTTTTTAGGCTCCCGCCTCAGTTTCATTTTTTCTCGCTGTTTATATCGTTTATATCCTTGATTATATTATTGGTTTTCAGCGTTTATAGCTGCTTAGTTATCATAATTTTTCTTTTGGTATATATTTTTATCGTTCTCTTTGTGTTATTATTCGGTTCGTATTGTATGTGTTTATATGTTACCATTTTGTTGGTGTTTACTGAAATCTATTTTTCTGTGAGATGTTGGGCAATCAATATGTATTTTATATGTTGGTCTAGTTGTTCTGAATCTTTTTTTCAAATTCATTATCTCATGACTTTTCTACGTACGCTGATTCTTAGATCTCTATACTGGTCGCAAAATATTGTGGAATGGCTCATAATCTACTTGGTCGAGCTTCATTTTAGTTTTTTTGTATATTATTCTTCTCTCACTGTGCTTTTTTTAAAATTATGGTCACTATATGTATGCTCCAAAAAGTTCACTGGTAGTCTGATCATGTATATGTCTGAGTTATCTTTATTATGCATTCTGTGTGTTTGGTCTAACTTGTCGTAGTAATTGTCATAGAATTTTGATCCAGAAATTCTAAGGGTACCCACTCCCTGTCGAGATAATTTTTTTATAATTCAAACATACGTTTCACCTTATTTCGTTGAATGTCACTATTTGAATGGGGACGTTACTTTTTTATTTTCGTTTAATTCTAAAGCGAAGCCTTTCAATACTTGTAATCTGGGATAAATTTTTATGAGGAGGAAAATACTTTCAGCCATTGTTGACTGGAGCATCAAACACCGCATCGATGATTTATAACAACTACCAGTGGCCGCCGTCTTCTAACCCAGCACAAGCGGCTGATCTTCGTTTATTTCCGCCAATGTCTCATCCTTCGTCGGTTGTTGGAGCCAATCAGCTGAAATTAGCTCAAGCTCAGGCAGCACAGGTAAAACTATTGTGTGCCCATTAACTGGTGATGAACCCTGTAACTCTCAACACCCATGTTTATTTTTAGCTCCAAGCTGCCCTCCTTTTGCAGAACAACGGACTCGGTAATCCTAATTTACTCATGGTCAGTGTTTTTTCAAACACTCGTACATGTGTTAAGCTGCGTACCTCGTTTATGCTTTATTCAGCAGGCGCGACTGCGGTCATTGGGACCTGGAGTTGATCCACTTTTGGCACTCGGAGGTCTTTCGCTTGCTGGTGCACCCGGAGATGGTAGCGCTCTCTTAGGAAGTGGAACACAAAGAAGTTCTCCACAAGAGCTTCTGAACTCTGGCTCGTGTGCCGGAATTGAAGATCCATAGGTGATTCTTCAATATAATTTCTTTCTGTGCTTGGTTTGCCTACAAATATATCTTTAATGCGTCTGTTAGTATGTTCTCCAATTTCGCTTCTATGGCATGCCGCATTTATTTTAGCGTATTTGGAACAAGTCAACAGGGCAGTTCAATGCGTGAACTACATTGTCCTTCCGGCTTCTGTTTGTCAGAGAGCGACGACATTCTTATTGCTGACACAAACAATCACCGTATTGTAGTGTGTGGCCCACCTCATCCATGGAAAATTGGAAGACCAGGAACAGTGAGTAGAAATTTTTCTTCATCTTCTTCCTGCTCCTCTAACTTTGCCATTATATATTCAGTTTGGTTAAATCCATTTTTCACCTCTGCATTGTTCGAGAATTATTTTTTTCTCTTCAAGGATGACGGGCAGCTGTGCTTTCCGCGCAAAGTGATCGCTTTGAAAGGTGACGTCACAAGGTATGCTGTTCTTGACAAAGGTGTGGATGGAAAGACACGTGCCCAGTTGTTCGATCAACGCGGTGAATTCATCAAGCGCATCAACATGGGTAAGTGTTACAAGCCTCAAAAGTAACTTCTGCTCTTATACTGTTCAGGAATTTGCTGATATCAGCTTGTTTGTTTAGTGCCTCTGGTACCACGCGGCGGAATAGAAGTATCAGCGGCTTCGTGCACGTCTTCAGGACATCTTTTGCTAGTTGATACTAGTGGAGTGGTTTACTGTATAGGTCAGATTCAGAAATATTGCTCAGTAGCTGGTTCCTTGTGTATACTTGCGTTTTAGACGTGGATGTACCACGAGTTGTGTTCTGGTTTGATGCGTCGTCTCATCTCGGGGAGGCAAGCGACGTAGCCATTTATGAGAAAAACGTCTACATAACTGATTTCAAACATCACTGCGTGCAAGTGTTCAACACTGATGGTTAGTGGTTGAAACAAAACTGGAAACTTCTGTAATGTTAGTCTGTTGTTCAGGGCAATTCATCCGTAAGCTGGGTGAACCATCACAGACTCCATATCCAATTGGCATTGACGTATCAAAAAATGGTGACGTTCTTGTTGCCGATACGCATGGGAATCATCTTCACGTCGTGGTGTTCACAGCAGACGGCACGCTTCAACAATCTTTTACACATAATGAGTTCAGGGTAAGCATTTCCTTGCATAGCGGAAAATATAGCTTGCCATATTTATCTATTCGCTACACTAGATCATAGAGAACATTGTTGAAGTGGCCAGTGGTCTGATTTAGGAATAGGGTCCGGGGACAATGCATCCCGAGTTTTTACAGAACGGATGGAGCTTTTTACCCTTTTTCCCCAGCGTGCCTCGGGAATGTTTGTCGCTCAAATGACGACATTATATGGCGGTGCTGCTGCAAAACGTACTTGGCGTCCCTCAATGAGCAGAAGCAATGACCTGTCCATTGTACCCATTTCTTAGAAATAGGAGTCACCTGGCTTATGGAGGTCAACCGATTTTATTAACCCAAAATAACTGATTCTGATTCTTCCGACAGTTTTACTCTATCTACTGAAACGGTGCTTATGTTAGATTTTGTAAATCTGCACTTCTTACAAGATCGTTATGGTCAACAATCCCAGCGCAACACTGCTCCGAAGGTCGACTAGCCGGTGTAGTGATTAGGAGCCGGAGCATCCTGCTGACTAGTACATTTGATAAGCCGCTAGACTTTTCGATTGTGGTTTCGTGCAAACATCGCCTACCAGCAGAATTGGGTCTTGATACGTGATACTTTGAAACCGCTTTTTTTTCTTATCTGGAATCGGGGAGACAGGAGAACTCAAATGAGACAGCATATTCAAGTTTACCACACACCTCAACCTTCTGGGCCCCTTAACATGAGCCCAGCAGTTCAGAGAAGGGAATGAATGTAAAGCAGCTAAGGACCAAGTTGGACCTAACTCCGCACCATGTCTGTCTGGCAGGAACTTCTCATGTTCCTTCCATAGAAGTTGCTATGAAGTCTCTTCATCATACGAAAAGTGCCGTTGTCTTTTCAAATGAGACATTCTGTTAAAGCCGCTTCTATGTTGAAATGTCCAGTCCCACGCTCCCCCCCCCTCTCCTGTACAATGGGAATTTCCACCATTTTTCGAGAATAAACCTCTACCATCCATGTTCATGTGTGGGCGTTTTATTCATTTTAATTTCAGCTGTCTCGTTGTGTTGGTCTGCGTGTTGCCGGAAGCGGTCATGTCGTCACTTTGTGCAAACACAACCACACTCTTTTTGTGTTCAAACCGCTCTACATCCGTTAGAGTTCGACCAGGAGTTGGGATTGATATACCTGACAAATCAGAGGGTTTGGAAATCTGGTTTTTATCCAATCAAATCGCCACACTAATTTCTGTCGTTTTTCAGATGTAATTGTTGATTTGTTTTTCCTAATTGACGCTTTGTTCGCAAGCGCCCCGGTTTTTTCTCCTGATACCATTTCTCAAAAATCACCAACCTTATACATCATCTACATCTTGCTTCATGTCCTTTTAGCTCTAGAACATTTGCTCAGGCCCTCTTCGCTAGCGTGTCGATCTCTTTTTTTTGTGGGGCGGCTTTTCCCGAGTTGTTGTAATGCGGGTCGGTTAGTGGTGTATGTGTATGCATGCGTATGTAATTTTTTTCTTATAATAGTAGTGCATTTTGTGTTAATATCTTCCCAGATAATCTTCTTTCTCCGTAAACTTTCATCCCAAGAACTCTCGATATATCAAACTGATTCACACTAGGATGTTTTTCGAATCAAATTCTGTGGAGCTGAACTTTTTTTTCGATTTGGGATCCTAACAGTGCACGAGGTGAACGTTTTTTGAATGCGTTGTGCCGAATCACTTTTGGTTTCAACAATCCAAAGTTTTCCACAGATATTGCCTGAGGCGAGTAAGGGTTTCCATCACTAATTTTCGTTCTGGATCATTGCCCCTATCAGTCATCAAATCACGGCTCGCTTATCGACCTAAATTCCAGGTAGTCTTAACTTGGGAGATTTCCGGAGGTTGTATATGAGTACATGCGAACCCCCTCCCCTAATATTTATTCAATTGGGGTGCCAATCTTTTGTATTCACGGTACTACGTTAATTACGTTTTTCGGTGTTCGATTAGGCTCCTTTTCATCGTTTGCTCACATGTGCAGTTTGCCTAGATGGTTATTCTTAGTAGTAATATTATCATTATTCTGGCGTTGTCCTTCACTTATACGGTGTCTCATCTAAATAGTTTTTTAGCCATTATGACATTTTAGTAGTGTTGTTTTCCCATGTACTAGAAAATGCCAATTGACGAGTGAGGACTCATAGCTTGGTTGGTACTACTATACGCGTCTTGCAAACCATGAAACTTCGTTATAGAGCGCCGAGCGCGTTAGTTGTAAAGTGACTCTTTCGGGAATTTCTCTTCTCTTTGTCCCATCTTGGTCCATTTCTTCCTTTCATTCGCGCGGCTCCATTTTGTTTCTCTCTTTTATTCAAGAGAGGGAGCGTCGGCGTGTGATATTACATGAAATTTTTTAAATCTATTTTTTGTGTTTACGTTTTCATTTTGTTGCATGGTTCCTCACCGTACCGTTGTGTAGCTGTACCAGTTGTCCCATTTTATTATTATTTTCATCTTTTTTGTTATTATGGAGCATTCAAGTTAGTCGTCTAGCCATTGATTCTAGTGTTAAAATGTGCTTTGACGGTGTACTTTATGTCAGTTACTCGAATTATACTGCAATAGAGTGTACTTCATCTGAGGTCTAACTAAGAGTATCTGACGTAAATTTTCGCTGTCCTCAGAAGATGTGAATAACCTTGGCCGATTTCGCTTTACTAAGCTCCGCTTGAAGGGCTCTGTAGTAGAATTTCCTGATTAACAAACACCGGCATGTTATTGACATCGGCTGTGGACATCTACGAATTTCTATGTTACATCTACACTTATACATTCCGTGATGTGCGATGTTTTCAATGTTGGTTATCATCATGCTCGGTGCTTGTCGGACCCCTATGCGTTGTCTTATCATTGATTGACAGAGTTTTTTTTTGTTGTAAGTAGTATTTCTAATTTCGCACCCTTATCACATGCATGTATTCGTTGAATGTTTATTATCCGTTATATATCTATCCTACCTAATTAGTCATGTTACTCGATGATATATTAATTTGTTACTGTATAATTTTTCATATTTAATCAGCTGTTATTTAGATTTCTTATCATTATATGATGTGGTGTATTATTTAGATTTGAATCATGTATTTTGAAATAGGATAGTTGGCTTTCATTGTGTTTTTTTACTGGTTTTCTATTTTCTCATTACTGCTATAGGGGATTTCATATACTTCTGTTCAAGTGATTTCGCTCTATGTTCTTCATCCGCACTTTAACAATTGGGAATTTTATGCAGTTAAATAAATATTAGTGTTATCTGTGAGTTTCTCATGAAGGCGTTCTTTCCCACAATTGCTATTTTTAGGTGCACTTCTATGACGCTGTCGGAGCATTTAGCTCTGCTGATCTAGTTGAGCTATGACCTTTCTAGAGCCTGGACAAGTTGCAGGGTGTGGTTCGCTAGAACTGAAAGCGACTTTTTCGCGTTTTGCAGAGCGAAACATTTTCGCTGCTGGTGCAGGTCCACTAGTGCCAGTGGACCTGAGAATCTCGCAACGAAGATTTTTTTGCGCCGTCTTCGGCGTTTCCTTCATGGCACCACGTTTGCTTGCTGTGGGGCGTAGGGTGAATAACGGTTAAGGAACCCTCTAAGGGGTCATGTTTTGCCCGTTTGGCAAGTGAGAAGGGGAATCGTTGGTGAAATGAAATGGGGCGTAAAAGTTGTTTTAGCTCTGATGTATACTCCCCCTGACCTGCCTCCCGCTCGACAGCAGTTTCGGTGGGAATTTGAAAGATTTGAGAGTGTGGGTGTGTACCCTTGCCCACGATAGTATGTATTATTAGGTTGGAAAGAAAGTTCTGCAACACTTTCTAGAAATTTTCTTTTTTTCTGAAAAATTCATAGGTAACATTTATGACTAACAAATGGTAGAGCATTCTCGAGGCTTTAATCCACGAGGTGGATATAAGTGCTGCAGTCAGTAGTTATCCAAGAAAATTCAAAAAACCCGACCACTAGTAAATCCATACTCCGAGTCACTGTCTAGTACAAATGTCTCCAAAACCATTCGTGTCAACGACCGACACTATCTGCAATAGCTTCAATAGGCATGCCGTTCACCGCTACAGCGTGTTTCACCTTTACCAGCGCTTTCGATCTTTTGATATTTTTATAAGAAGCCAGCAGCGTCCTACACACTCCATTACAGGAAGGGCTCTTACGGAAGCTCCACTACAAATTCTTCGTTATGGGCACCATTGTGTAGGTAGAGGTCTAGGCTGCGAAACTCCAGAAGCTGGCCGAGGCAGCTCGTCAGGAGCCCTCGTACCGCGACAATATTTATTTCTTTCATGACATTGCGAATCACCATGATCCGAAATGAGCCCGGTAAGAAATTCTGGAGCTGCGGCAAGATTTCTTACCTCTCTTAGCGTATTCCCTGGTCGAGCTATAAATGACTGCCACCTATCCTGGACCTTAAATCATCATCTTGATGACGAAATAATTAGACGATCAACTCCAACTCGAAAGTGAGGTCGCCTCCTTTCTCGACCCGCACTCCGCTGGGTTTTGGCAAAGGAGCATCAAGAAATTTTCTGAGCGTTGAAGACAAGTGGTGGACACTCATGGTAGATATATGACCGGTCAGGAGTTGTAAACAAAAAGATAAAATCAGAAATTAAAAATGGAAAAAAGTGTTGCAAGACTTTCTTTCCAACCTAATATTATCGTGTACGCATGACTTAATCTTAAAGCCATTGCATAAATTCGTTTGCAACGATTGCTTTTGTAGTCACTCATTGTCTTCTAGTACAACTTCCTAGTGAACCAATTATATTAAAAAGTTATGGTATTAAATTATGTTAAAAAGGATATTTAAAAGGAAATAGTCGCTTTAGTCTATACTCGTAATTCCGTTTTGATGGTGGATAATAGTGTAATGGATCCATATTGGGTCCCAAAGTTACATAATCAGGAAAATGTCTCTGAAATATCATTGCAGTAATGTGTCGGGAATGGAGGAAAGGGGTTAGTTTTCTACTTAGTGGGTGGTTGGAGGGGGATACCAAGGCGCAAGTAAAAAACCTGGGCTCAATGTGTTGTTGATTGAAGGAAAACATCAGAGTATGCCGATGATTCATACACGCGCGCGCAGCCCGACCACCCCCACCGCCTGGAAAATTTTCAAATGTTTTGCATTTTTTCCCTTGAAGTGTGAGCAGGGTACCGTTTCTGTGGGGAAAACGATGGTTGCCGATCTTCACGAATCTGCACGTCTTGCTTCTCGATGATATGAAATGCTTCATAGCGGATGCCGAGGAAGAAAAGAAGTTAGTTTCTCTTGTTAAGCTGAGAAGTTTATTATTTGTGTTCCTCTTTGCTAACCCTACATCGGAAAATTAGCAACCTAGTTTCTTCAGATTCTAAACGAAAAAAAAAAACAAAAACAAACTCAATATTAGATCAAGGAAGCATATGCTTTTTTCACTATCGAAACAAAATAATGCATTAACATTTAACAATTAATATCCTGCTCACTGAGCTACTTCCGGTGAGATTAACACTGATGGTGAGTGGAGCGGTCGCATGGTGATGCCAGAGATCTGTAGTAGTGTTAACAAACTGTCTAAGGTGAAAGACGACGTTGATTTTCTCCTAAGTATTAGGATTCTATTGGCCATTTTTTGATGTGGGTGGGTTAGCGGCAAACCTTTTTCTGAGTAGTTTGTGCTTTCCTTAATGGAATGATCTCGTTCACACCAGCGTAAACCATTGAAACTGGCCGACATTTTGGTCGCTTCACTTCTTGTTTGTTTGCAGGGCTCTAGAGAGTGTTATAAGCAGGTTCGCAGCGAGTGGTGAAGGGAACGCTTGCGAAGGTCTCGTGGTAGCTTGTAAAGGAGAAAGTGGGCGCTACGCGGACCCGTAGTAAAAAATGCTGTGGAAGAGTTCGAACTTAGTGCGAAGTTGATTGTCGTTAGTGTAGGTGAGTGTCATATTGAAGATAAATTAAAGAGCTTTTTCACTAGATCAATTCATCATTTACGTTTTTGATGCCTTGTTTTAGCTCAGCTCGGTCCGAAAAAAACACCTTCAAAATGCTTTGACAGATGACGAGACGATTAAGGCTTGCGGTCTTTATGGTAAGATGCGTACTCTTTGCTAGCGCTCTATGTAATCATTGAAGGGCAAAAATCATATACTCTCTTCGAAGTGTCTATGGTTAGAAACGTTAGTTATTAATCGCGCTTGTTGCTTTTAAAGTGCGTTCAAATAAGTAGAGATCCAATAGCTGTCACTCCCAATGATCCTAATGGGGGTGGGGCCCCGGGGGGGGGCTCAAGTCGTCTCTTGCGATCTTGGCTGTCTTGCATTTATTCGGTGGAATGGGTACGTTGAATCTCTGCTGAGCTGATATGCTGTCAGTGTCCCGTATCATCTCATGGTTATAAGTGGCGCGTATTAATCGCATGAATTAATAGATAAGAATTGTACTCTACTTGAACTTCAACAGTATTCCTACCCTAAACTCATCCCACGATCTTTTTGTGCTAAACATTCCTTATCTTCACCGACACGTTCGCTGTGATTCAGAAAACCAGTGGGAAGCTGTTTAGAGTTGTGTACTGATCATAGAGGATGGCGGGACGCAACGTGTTTGCAACACGTGTCAACGACTCAATCTTTTGACCTCATATTGGGGTACTTCTTGAACTAACAAGAAAGAACGATACAATGGCTGCCGTGTTTTCTTGATCGGCGTACAAAATCAGCTTGTGGATTCCATGAATCCTCGCAAGGAATCAAACGTCGGATTCGTTATTGCGTAACTTTGTGTGCGAAATGCGACGGTCAACAGAGTTACCTCTCGCTTTGTTTGGCTTCTATAACTTATAACAGCAGGGTTTCTAGTACGCTTCTCTTTATTGCCAACGTTTTCCTTCTATTTGGAGTACTTCCAATGAAACGAAAGCCGAACCTTTTTGTTTGGTACGCCCTTTGACCACGTATTTTCTTTCTAAATGGCATTTTTAGAAATTTTCATCAACATCATTGGAGAAGCGAGGCAGTTCGGTTGCCATGGTCGTATAGTGTTCAGCCTGCTAGGCCACAGGTTGGGATGATATTTTTGAAGGTTTCCTTGGAAGATGTACCTGGTAATAGGAGTGTTCGGGTGCCACGAAGGTGAATGCTTCCAACTGCTTTTGGTAAACGCTCAGTAGGCTCACAACCCTCTGAAAATAAGTATTACTCACAGTTAATCTTGTCGTTCGGAGTTTCCAATCAGTCAATTGGCAGTAGTTCCCTTTTCAATAAGTTCTCTCTACTTACAGAGTGGTCGAAGTTTGTTTGTTAGCAGGATTTTCTGACAGACACTGCAGTTTTGGCGGGAAATGAACTACTTATTCTCGGTATTTTACCCATTTATTTGAAATTGCATACTAGTGATCTGTTCCTAAGTTCTTTTCATTTTTCCGTATTCGAGGAAGCATTCCAATTATGCAATGTGTAAGTGCAGTGATCAGGTTCGTTTTGTAGTGAGCTCGACAGCTGGTTTACTTATGAAATATTCAGACCGACAATTCGTATGCTGTGCTGAAGAGAGTAGCGAGTGCTTTCTTGTGCCTTTATTTGGCAAAGGACTCCTCACAACCAGTCAACCAAATCCTCACGGAGGCTGTTGAGATGATCTTGCCACGAAAACACTCATTGGAACCCATAGTCAGATGTGAGGGTTTTTGTATAAATCGAAAGCCTCAGTTTTTTTTTGTGGATGCGTAAGCTTGAGAAAACCTGGCTTTAATGCTGTGTTTGTGCCCGCTACCAATATCTTCACCTCCACACTGCCTCTAATACAGTGTTTGCGTTCAGTCACGTCCCGCATCGTTCAACATGGCGTATCTTTTCTGTAAAGAAGGTTTATGCGAAGTGAATTTCAGCTCTATCTATGTGGTCGTTGTGCGTACTTCTGTGCGTTTATCGCCGACTGCGATCGTGTCCGGTTTCTGCTGCCTTAGGATACAGGAAAATTGCACAAGGTATCGACAACTGTTAGATATGCATATAAATAAATTCTCAATTTTGAGGTACTTACTTTTTATTTCGATGGGAGCTTCAATTTCATTATGTCTCAGTGCAGTTGAACCAACATATCTTTACAAAAATCACCACACTAGCAAGACTGAGTCGAGAGAACTTCCGCAGCCATTTTTGCGCATTTACCTACCCTTTTTTATGCAGTAAAATGATTATTCGCCATTAACTTCATAGTGGACTATCTTTCGTGTACGGTAGTGCTATGGACGTTTTGGAATATGGAAATGAAGGCACAAATAAAGCAAAACTAGTCGTGAAAGAGCGGGAAGTACCCCCCCCCCCCGCGCCATCGTCAGTGTCTTAGCGGGAGGTTAATTTATGAAACGGAGACCAGATGGATTATGAGGTCCCGATATTCATGACTGAGTTCAAAAAATAAGAGCTTCTTCTGCTTCTGAAACTTGAATCGGTATATTAGGCAGAAGTCAGATTTTGCAACTAATAGCTAGCGAATCAATTGCGTTCATTGGTCGCTCAACTCGTTGGGATTCAAGCAATTCGAGCGATGCGCCAGCGATTTCAGGTTTTCATACTCTGTCACCATCGCGATTCGCTAACGATGGTGCAAAGTCTGGCACCTAGCTTGTGTCGCAGCGTATCTGAGGATTTTTTCAAGAATTTGCAAATAGGTTCACATCGACCTGCTTGGAGTTTTTGAAACCGTACAAGGGACAAGGGTATTTTTCAAATTCTCATCTTTCGTCATTTCATCCACATGCTCTCTAGAGATAGGAAATGCTGAAAGTTTCTATATTGTTAGTCACTGTCTTTTACATGGCTTTCGTTAAGCACAAAGTCTGCGAAGACTTCCGAAAAGCTATGACGCTCAAAGACCAGCCGTGATCAATAAAAAGGTCTGCTGACAATGGCTGCATATGAATTGTGGGCAGAGCTACAGCCCTGAAGATCAACAACGATTAAGAAGCAGGGTGAAAATCGTGTCGAGTACGTGGTCGCAGAGGTACGACCCCCCCCCCGAAATCGAGATCCTGGCACGACCCCCTCTAACAGAGCAAATTAATTCAATTAAAATAAATCCTGCAAAACAAATCAAAAAAAAATTCTGCAAAATAATGCTAAGGACGCTTCATCTTGTCATCTATGCACGTCTTCCATCGCTGCATACTTTTGTGTACATACTGAAATATCGACTCGAGGAAAGAGGCATTAACTTTGTGTGACCTCAAGGCGAGGTTCGTTCAGAAACGCACAGAAATCCTGAAGACACGGGGTTGCGATTCAATCTTGATTCTTGCTTGAGTATATCAAAACAGCCGAGTGTATCAAAGGCCGATTCAACGGCAGCTGCGGCGCGATTGTCACTGGGTCAGATTTGCCGAAATTTCAAAAAAAAACGTCCGAATCTACACCCTCGATGAAAAGGTTGCATTCCTCCATTTCACAACCTTTGAAGCAGCTTGAGGTAGAGTTAGATAGAGCTGGATTTCGCGTTTCCAACAAGCATCGAAATTGCTCTGGAAGCCTTCCTTGCAGAAAGATAGGGTCTGTCAAATTTCGTCGAGTAAATGTCGAGGAGGCCCAAATTTTCACGCGAGTTTTTGCCACTTCAAGAGCAATATATCTCTTATATTGTAAGATCCTGAAAAAGGGAAGATAGTTTTGGAAAGCGGAAGGTTTGCGCTTCCTGATGGTCTGTTTAGTTTTCTTCTACAGCTTTTGGTTGAAGAGATAATTGCGTCGAGGATCTATCGAGGTCGGATCCGGCCACCTGGAAATCCGCTCCCTCATTCACCATTGCAAGTGTGACTCGTTGGCAACACTCGGAATGTGTCTAGAACAATATCTTTGAACGCAAACAATAAGAATAGGAGCAATCGTCATCATCCGATTTGGTATTGGTATAAGCCATGCATCCCTCCTCCACTCACAGTTGCAGAATCGATTTGAAAGGTGTTATATGATGGGGACCTTCGAACGAAACTGTATTGTAGTAGACATAGTGTGTTGTGCTATTCCTGTAACCTAAAAAACAACTTCATTTGCCCAGCGCTTTTTCTTCACGGTTGTCGTTTTTCCGACAGGGTCCCTAACAACAGCGTCATTCTCAGCGAGGTATTAAGGGAGAAGGAGCGAGTGATAGGCAGAGGAGGTGCCTTTGCAGCGCGTGCGCACATGTGGCAGTCTTCTTTGCGGGGATGCACTTTCATTCTTTGTACTGCCTTCAAATACGCCCTTCTCATGAAGGTGGAGGAATGGAGCGACTGAACCTGCAAAGAAAATTTAATATCATGTTTTTTTTTCGGATGTTTTCATTTTCTGCTGCGCTATACCCTATTACCTATCTGCACCATGATACCACTTCTGTTACTGACCCCCAAGAGTACGACCCCCCATGGACCAGCCCAACAGGTACGACCCCCCTGTCGAGGATTTCCTCGACCGATATTCACCCTGGTCGAAGTGAATGCCGTGACGACTTTTGCAGTCCTCGAAGCATAACTGCTTTGCCATAACTTGGTTGATTTTGACAGGACAATGCTTAGGATCAATTTTATGTGGCAATCCCAGTGGGAAATACGAATGTGATTTCTGCGAAGTGGACCAAAAGTGGAGACAAAATGAATAACTTTCATCAAAAGACAGAAAATACAAATCTCTTTGCTCTACGCTAGTTGTCAATTGTGAGAGCATACAGCGAAGTAGGGTAGGATTGATAATGCGGGAAGGGAGAGGACTCTAAGTCGAAGAGCACAATGGTGAACCAATACGATACATACAGTCGATATCTCGAAGTCTGATTGGGCGTGTCACCGGAAATGACGTGGCAGCCACCGCACTTGATAGATGTTGTGTGGATAAAATACTCCGCCAGATATCAGCAAAGCGTGTTGGAAGCAGCTTATCCGCGCAACTTCTATCAAGTGCGGTGGCTGCCACGTCATTTCCGGTGACACGCGAATTGACTCGACCTTTGCCTTCAAAAAATGCAGTGTTTCCAGGGCGCCATAATTCACATCCTTCAAGCAATCGGGGAGTTTTGCAGGCTGGAACGACCTATCTCACACGAGCTATGTGAAGCACCACTGGGAATACGCTGGAGCATCTGACAAAACCTTGTTGTTCAGAAGTCTTCAATTGGTTTGTTGAATGGTCACCGGGGATGAGAAGTAGACAGTGTATGCAAGCAGCATACAGAGGTGTCGATGGATGGATGCAGTGGAGTGCTGAACTGTGAAAGATGACCATTTACTGCTCTGCGTTACTCACTATTTGGTCAAAAACATCACTGGCAACATCCACGCGATACGGTCTTGATCATAGTCGGCGTCAGTTGCTCATCTCAACCATGCGATTGAATCGATCAAGATCGCGCAATTTGCTCTCGTCAGTCGTGCCCAATAATTTTTTTGTTGGGTACGGGTGCTCCCTGGCGAATTCAAGTCTTCAGTGACACAGGCAAGAGTGCGCGACCGCGAGACCTCTTTGCCCTGCAACTTTTTAATCGAGAATCCTTCCTGTTGAACTGCCGCGCACTGTCGCCGAGATCGGGACATCGGACTATTCGAAATCTGTCGAAATGAGAAAAAGTGTGTTTTTCGAAATTGGGATCAGATCCGCAGTTATTCACGGTACAACCTAATACTTTTCGATTAAGCGTTGTTGCTGTCTCGTTAACTATTTCCAGCATTTTCTGGGGGTTATTGAACCTGAGTTCCTACAGTTGCGCCACTTTGCAGATTTTCGACGTATTGGAAACACTGTGGACAGCCGTGTACGTGTACCGTCCGATTTGGCTGTGTATAGAGAACTAGATCGGCTGGTTGATTATGGACTCTTGGTAGCAGATTCAAAGGCAAATAATGTGGTATTCAGGTAAGGTAGCCACCCTTTTATTCTCATATGTTATTTGCTGATCTCCACTTTAAGAAAAGTGGAAACTTGGATTTTGAAGATTTGCAGCATTCTGTAGATAAACGAATAGTTAGAGCTAATTACCATTGCGAATCATGTCCTAGTGGGTGAGCATTGTCGGAAAACAGCGCGTTGTCTAATTATATGTACTGTGGATTGAATGTGAGTGCCACTATCAGTTAGATCACGCTGTGCACATATGACAATTTACTGGAACAGCTAGATTGAGAGTCCAGTAATTCAAATTCTA